CTCAGTGCTACAACATTGTTCACATGGACAGTGAAACTGGTTCTGGCAACTAGAGGGCGGGGGAGGCCGTGCCCCTGTTAGGACCGGGACGTAGTTGGCTCGCACCTCCCGTGGGGCTTTCACAAGGTAGGTGGGTTTTAAGTCCACAGAGAGATAAGGGTGGAGACACATACATAGATCTCTACGTGTGTAACGCCAAGAGTGATAATGACCGGCAGTGAACTTTACTGGGACGCATCATTCGCGTCGAAAGGGTATCAACGACATCTCGGGGTGAGGTGGTCGACATCCAGGAAAATGTTCCCAATGGAAGTTGCATTTGAATTAAACAGTCAGGAGAAAGAAAACAGTGGGTTTTCTACCGGCTTACTCAAGAACCTCCTCCCCGGGTCCCAGCTGGAACCCATTCTGAATGTGGGGCCAAGAGCCTTAGAGGAGGAGTTCACCGCGGGCCTCAATAACCCACCCACCCCGGCCTTGGGAACCAAGGGAGACCAGCGGCCGCGGATGCGGGCAGGGCAGGGTGGAAAGGGAGAACAGTGGCCTCCAGGAAATCTCCGGGCTCCGGCCAGCGAGAGCGTGGCTCCGGACTCCCACCTTGGGCTGAACTGGGCCTGGGGGCAGAAGGCAGGGCCACCACCCAGGACCGGGCGGGGTGGGCGCCACGGCTTTGCGGGCTGTGCAGGGGAGGTCCGAGGACCCCCGGCAGGGCCAGGGAGGAGCCCAGTCCCCTTACCGCGGGAGGGACGGGGCCGCGAAGCACGCGAGTTAGCGCTAAGAGAGACAGAAGAAGGCTACCCGCAGGGGAAGGGAAAGTACCGCACCAGTCCCTCCTCTATCCCACCCTTCGGAGAGAGTGTCCGAGCAAGGGGGCTCCAAGACCGCCCGAGTGCAGCCCCCCGTCCAAGAATGGACCCCCACCCCCCAACGCTGGGCCTGCTCCTCCCCTGCTTACCCCTTCACATTGCTTCAAGCAGCCCAACCGGCCTCTAAAGCCGCCGGCCCGGAGCTCTGGGGACTTCGCCTGCATGAAGGGCGCTGGCTGCGCGGTGAATGTGCCTAGTTTCAAAGTGGGCAACTGCCGGCGGGAAACGTGGCGCCCCGAGTCTGGGAGGAGCAGAGCTGCCGCTGGGGCCACCAGAAGCCAAAGTGGCCGGGCCTGCAGGTAGGGCCAGATCCTCGGGTTCATGCAAGAATGTGGGGCCCGATCTCCTCCTCTTGCACACACACAACCTCCACGTACTTAAATGGACATTCCTCAGGGCCAAAGCCCTGTCCCTGAATCCGGACAAATGACATGGGCTCAAGGGGGTGGTGGTGCGTGTAGGTAGTGGCTACTGAGTCCAGCGCTAACTTTCCCCGCGCCCCTTTGGAAGGAGAAAGGCAGCCCGAGCGGGCAGCAGCTGTCAGGCGCGCTCTCCCGAGCTGTGGAGGGGGTGGCTGGTCAAAGGCGAGGAGAGTTCACCCCCAACAGTGCCCGCCCTTGCACTGTCTCGCCGGTCCTCACTCCAACCAAGGAATGCCTGCTCCTTGAGCTCGAGAAAGAGGCGCTGCCAAAGGAAATGTGAAGTGGGGCCTGCCAAAGGAGGAGGAGAAAATTAATTAATGAGGGAAAGAAATGTGTCTCTGATCCAGATGATAGACTCCCTATCCCCAGGGGCGGAAATTCCTTGGAAATCAATAGCTGTGCATTCATTATTCCCCTCTTGATAAAATGCAAAGCTATGAGATGGAGGGAGGGGAGAATCTGTGTTGGTCATTAAAGAAGAAGAAGGAGGACAAAAAAAAAAACCCTCCCAGGAATCTATGCCAAGGCTCAGACCCCATGTAGGCATCATTAGCACAGGCAGGGGCCAACTAGTTACTGCACTTGCCAAATCTGGAAAACAAAGCAGTGACATATTGGTGGGCTGGAGCCTGGGTCCATCACCCTTTCCTTTCACTGCCTTGGGGTAAGTAGGGAAAGGCTTGATAAGGTCCAAGGAACTGCCTGCAGATCTGCCGCTGTGCCCGGCTTTTTAGCGGGCGGGGGGCGGCTGGGGGGGGGGCTGAACCCAGCAGAGATGCAGCCCAATAACTCTCCAAGCATTGCCCCCACCCCATATTCTGTACACCTGCCTCTCTTCACACCCATCACACCTGTACCATGAACATCTCTTCACCTGTAACTGCCCCACTCTCATAGACTGCCACCTCCTGGAGGGCAGATATTTTATACCTCATTTTATCTCCAGTGTCTTGCCTTGGCCCAGACTAATGCTCAGCAAGCATTTGAAGAAGGAAGGTAAGGTAGAAAGTTAATGAGGGAGGGATGAAATAATTGACCTCCAAAAAAGAAAAGGCTGGAATCAAGATTTACAGCTCTGCGTGGAAACAGCACATCCCTCTGGCCCAGTCTCCATCTCCTTTTCAGGGAGAGAGGAGTCTCCTTCAGTGATCCTCCTTGCCCACCATTAGCCCTGGCTGGTTGAACTATCTCTGGCTTTTGCTCCTAGCCCCTGGCCCTCCCCATCTGGGGAGGGCAAACACACGTATTATTTTATGGAGCATTGTTACTCTGTGACAAGCACCTTGTTAAGTGCCACGGTGGACACAGATGTGCCCTAAATGGGATTGCAATCCCATTGCTGGGGGAGGCAGTGAGGGGATTGTACCCACAGCCTTCATATTTCTAGCCCCAGGAAAAGGGAGATATTCTGGGCAAAGGTCTGGCCTCACCCCAAGGTGGGCAGGGACTCCAGTCGTCCAGAGAGAGGTGAGCTAGGAGGAGAGTCTCTGTGCCCTTCCAGCGTCGGAGGATAAAGCGAGATGAGCTTCGGATACTCAGGGGCTCACCTCGCTCTCTGGGGGTCCGCCTGGTCCCCAAACTGTGCTAAACTGTGCTGTTTGCGTTTCTGTCCCCCTGCACCCTTCTTGGTCCCTAAAGGCCAGCGTTTCCCTGGGGGGCGGGCGGGATCTAGGCGCTCTCCCTCTGTGGGGCCCTTTCTTCCTCCCGCGGGAGAGCTCAGGGAACCGCCACGATGGGTGTCAGGAAGGATTAGGTTAAGCCAGGACACCCCCGTTGAGACAACTACCGTAGGACTCACTCGCCCCCTCCAGCGATGTCCTGCTCATCGTCCATTCCCTGTGGAGATAAAGTTGCATTTAGCAGTCCCAGGGGACCGCGTAATGGATGGAAATGCGGCTCCTTCTCGCACCAGCAAGTGAACATCCTTCTTACTCCCCTCTCCGGCTGCAGCCACGCGGGCAGGGGCGGGGAGGCGGGGGGAGAGAGTTGGGGGGGGGGAGGCTAGAGAGAACAGAAAAGAAAGAAGAAAAAGCCATGGTGACGCCTGTGGGCTCCTCTTGGAATCTGAGTAGCGAGTGGTATGCTAAATACGCACGCGTTTATCCAAAGAAAAGATAAAATCCACGCGAACGCATATTTAGGTTTATAGAAATGAGATCTGCTCTTTGGAGGAAATACAGACCTCCTTGGTGTGGGAGAGACCAGAAAGATTATCTGATCTCTGCCTCCCATAAGCAGCCCCCTGCGGGTCTCCAGCTCTCTTGCCGCAGATGTGATAACATCTGGGCTGTTATTATCACCCCCGGCAAGCGCTTCATCCCTGGGGACACGGGCACCTGAACTGTGGTTCCCTAGGAGGCCCTTGATCTGCCTGCCACATAAGGGCCGTATAACAGGTTGGCTAATTGATTTATTCTTCTTCTTGGGTTTTGATTTCACAATAATAAAAACAAATAAATAAGTCAGGACCAGAGCTTGGCTCCCGTTCTTTCAAATTGGTTTGAATTAATATTTTAATTACGCTTTCGTATAAACTGGCTTGGTCCTGTCTCCTTTTGAAGGAAAATATATATGTATATATACACATACAGTCAGAGATAAGAAGCAAAGAAGCCAAAACGATGGAAGGGAAAAGAAAGTTCTCTTTTCCACATTTTATTCCGTTTTCTCTGAAGCGATTTCCTTTTCCTGGAGTTTCCAGCATGAAGTGTGGTGTGTGTGTGTGTGTGTGTGTGTGTGTGTGTGCGCGCGCGCGCGCGCGCATGGTGAGGAGAGGAAAAGATCCCAACTACACCGTTAACTGTTTTTTCCTTTTGATTACTAGAAGCCTCAGATCATCCGGAGCTCGTTTGAAATGTGGGTTTGTACACGGTTAAAGGAGACAAACAGTAAGAGAAATGCACAATTTCATTTCAACAGCCATTTCCAAGTAGAAAGCACAAGCTTCTTGTGGCTCCTAAGTGGCTGTCACTGTCGGTGCCTGACACAGTTATATTCACAACAACAACAACAAAGTATGCTGAGGAAATTAAATTATATGGAAATCAATAGCATCTGCCTGCTTCAAACGAATGTCTGTCACCGCGATTATTCTACAGGAACCTATTTATAAACCTTGAAAGAAACAGGTTCTTGCAGCAAAAGACAGTACCTTCTACATTTCTGTGTTGATATTTATACTGTATACAGAGGAACGTGCGGGCATAATTTAACATACAAATGCCCAGCTGTATACCTTATATAACAGCTTGTTAGACATCCCGGAGTGGAAGTGTTCTTAAGTAATGCGCATATATTCAGGGCTTGTGTTGGGGAGGGAGGGAGGGAGGGAAACCACCGAGGGGCTTGCGATCATTTTATCTTTCTCCCCCTAAAAGGTGCCTACCCTCAGACAATAGCCAGCCCCTTTGATCTTTCCAGACCGGCGGTTGGAAAGGTGCGGTGTGCAGTGCGCATGCCCGGGCAGCTACAGGTGCATCACCTGCGCTGTCCTTGCTGGTGGTCACTATAAGAGCGGCTCCCACGCGCTGGTAGCGGCCGGGAGAGCGCGCGCGCGCGCAGACGCACGGCGCCGCGGAGAGGGAGAGCGCGCGTCAGACAGAAGGAGACAGTTGATGCCTGTCAGCGCGGTGGGGCCGCGAGCTCTCGCGAGAGCTTCCAAGACCGGCCGCGAGAAGTGGGGCTCAGGTGTAAGAGGAGTGCATCCCGTCGGCGCGCGGGGCTAGAGCTCTCGAAGAAGTGGGATCGCAAGGCCGGTGCGCGGCGCTCTGCGCGGTCAAAGGGAGCGTCGGGCGGCAGCAGCGGCAGCAGGAGCAGCAGCAGCCCCCCGCGCGGCCGCCGCCTCCGTGCCGCCAGCCGCCTCGGCTGCAGCCTCGGAAGGGAGGCCGGGGGAGCCGGCGTGCGCACTTTCCCGCGGACTTTCGGAGTGTTTGTGGATTTACATGCCAAGCCATCAAGATGATGTCCATGAACAGCAAGCAGCCTCACTTTGCCATGCATCCCACCCTCCCTGAGCACAAGTACCCGTCTCTGCACTCCAGCTCCGAGGCCATCCGGCGGGCCTGCCTGCCCACGCCGCCGGTAAGCGCCCCACGCCCGCGGCCCCGGCCCGCGCGCCCGCCCCCTCCCCGTCTCCGAGACGCTGCATGTCGGGTGCTGGTGTGTGCCCAGGTCCCGGTGCGGGCATTTGCGGGCAGGGATTTTTAGAGAAATCCTGCTGCGAGGCACGTTTTGTACAGTGGCGCTTAATGTTGTGTTCCCTCCCATTGCCTCTGCCTCGGTCTCGGGCGCCTGCGATCACAGTGCGGAGCGCTGGGGCCATGACTCTCGACTTCCGTCCACTTTCTCTGTTAATTTCATGCCTCGGAAAGGCGGTCTCTGTGCGTGTTCGGGTGTGTGACATGGATCCGCAGCTGCGAGTTACATCTCCATTTCTTCTTCTTTCCCCCTTCTGTTTCGTCTCCCACGCCCGTTCCTGGAATGTGTTTCTCTGCCCCCCTCTCCCCCGCATCTGCCCCCCTCCCCACACTCCCGTCCCTTCTCCTCTGTCCCCCAATGTGTCCCCCATTCCGTCTTTCCCGGTCTCCACTATCCCCACCTCCGTTGTTGTTATTTTGGTTGCTTTGTGTTTGCCCTTTGCTTGTTGTGCTTTCCGGCTTGTGTGTGGTGTTGTTTTGTTTCGTGTTTTTGCTTTTCTGGTTTTGTGGTTTTTTGGTTTGGTTTGTGTCGCCTGCAGCTGCAGAGCAACCTCTTCGCCAGCCTAGACGAAACGCTGCTGGCGCGGGCCGAGGCGCTGGCGGCCGTAGACATCGCCGTGTCCCAGGGCAAGAGCCACCCGTTCAAGCCGGACGCCACGTACCACACGATGAACAGCGTGCCCTGCACGTCCACGTCCACCGTGCCGCTGGCGCACCACCACCACCACCACCACCACCACCAGGCGCTCGAGCCCGGCGACCTGCTGGACCACATCTCGTCGCCCTCGCTCGCGCTCATGGCCGGCGCAGGCGGCGCGGGGGCGGCGGGCGGCGGCGG